CATTAAAGGTTGTCACTAGTGAACTTATTACCACAAAAAAAAAAAAAAAAAAAAAAAAAGAAGAAGAAGCCCTGTGCTAAGTAGTCACTACCCAATGTCCCTAGTGCCTGGCAACGGCTGCTTTCTTTCTCCATGGATTTGCCTATCTGGATATATCATATAAATGGAATTATATAATATGTAGTCTTTTGTGCCTTGTTTCTTTTAATTAGGATAATGTTTTCAAGATTTACCCATAATGTAGCATGTACTAGTTCTTCATTCTGTTTTTTTTTGGGTCAAACCCAGGGTCATTCTACCTCTGATCCCAACCCCCACCCCTTTTACTTTTTGAGCCAGAATCTTACTAAGTTGCCCAGGCTGGCCTTGGACTTGTGATCCTTCTGCCTTAGCTTCTCCTGTTGCTGGGATTACAAACATGCCCCACCATGCCTAGCTGTTTTTCTTTTTTTAGTGCTGAATATATTCTATAGTATGCATACATCACATTTTGTTTACCCATTCATCCAATTGATGAGCAATTGGATTTTCAGTGTTGTACTATTCTAAATAATGCTGCTATGAAGAGTTGTACGAATTGTGTGTGTGTGACCATTCACATATAAGTTTTCTCTTGAATATATACCTAGGAGTAGAATTGGTATATCATATAGTACTGTACATTTAATTTTTTGAAGAACTGCCAAATAGTTTTCCATACCTTCTGCAACATTTACATTCTCATCATCAGTACAGAATGGTTCCAATTTCATATTCTTACTTCCTTGCCTACATTTGTTATTTTCTGTTATTTTAAAAATAGTCTTCCTAGCAGATGTGAAGTGGTATGTCATTGTGCTTTTGTTTTATATTTCCTGAAATATTAGTGCTGTTAAGGAGCTTTTCATGTGCTTATGTCTATTGAAGTCCTTTGCCCATTTAAAAATTTAATTGTAGAGTTCTTTATATACTCTGGATATCAGTCTCTTGTCAGGTAAGTGATTTGGAAGTATTTTCTCCCTTTATGTGGGCTGTTTTTTCACTTCAGTGACAATGTTCCTTTGACACAAAACTTCACAATTTTGACAAAGTCAAAATTATATTTTGTGCTCTTGGTATCATATTTAAGAAGCTATTGTGTAACTCAATGTCACAAAGATTTATATATTTGTTTTCTTCTAAGAGTTTTATAGTTTTAGATCTTACATTTAGGTATTTGATCCAAGTTGAATTAATTTTTAAAACTGTGAGGTAGATGTCCAATTCCACTCTTTTGTATATGGATATTCTTGTCCCCACACCATTTGTTGGAGGGAGTATTCTTTCTTCATTGATTCATTTTGCACCTCTTATCAAAATCAAAGTCAGTTGAAGTATTCTTATATGGGTTTATTTATGGGCTCTCGATTCTTATATATGTATATATGTTTCTAATATATGGACTCTCAATTTTAATGTAGATTATATTCTAATTTAGAGATTTTAAATTCTAATGTACAATACATATCTACTTTTGGCAGCATTACACTACTTTGATTACTACAGATTTGTAGTAGAGTTTGAAATCAGGAAGCTTTTATCCCATAAATTTCTTTTGTAAAGATTGTTTTGGCTGATGAACCTTTGTTAACCAACAAGGACAGGATTTGGCCAGGAATCCGAGTATAGCAAATTGGTAACAAGATAGCCATACTCCTCAGAACTGAAGACTTTCTTTCTGCTTTTGATAATACTGTAACCCAAAAGAGAAGCTGACAACACTCAGAGCCCCAGACCTGTTGATGATGGAGGTCGCTAGTTAGTCTCATTGTTTTCCTTGGATTTGGGTCAAGCCATCTTGGATAGCAAATATATCACCTTACTTTATTTTTCAAACAGGTACCTGAAACAGGTAATGTGGTTAGGCCCATTATATAGGTAGGGAAAGTATCAGGGTTCAAGGACTTGTTTAGATTACAAAGACTTGTTTTGTGGCACAACAGTTACTAGATGTAGGTTCCTTATCGCTTGTGTTGTGTTCTTTTGTTTAAAAGAGTATATTTGAAAAAATATGAACAGTAAATGTTAACTATCAAAACTATTACAGACAAGAAGCAGAAGAAGAAAGAGCAGAGGATTATTCATTATCTCATTACTTAGAGAGGAGCCATAAATTGTGGGATTCCCCACTGGACCACGAACAGGAATGTTTGGTAAGTTTTTAGCAACCAGCTTTCCAGAAAAAAAGTAATGTCCCAATTTGTAGTCCTTACCAATTTTTTTGGTTTATACTATAGTTGATTTCAGGCTACTATCACGCTATTACTGAATATGGATTCAGAAAGAGATCCGTACTGTTGGTTCTGAGAACCAGGGCAGCACACCACTGAAGGGTTCTTAGTTGCTGCTCAAAGTTTAATCCATCAAGAATGACATTGGCATCACCTGAGGGCTTCTGGAAATTCAAAATGTGAGGCCCTGAATTTTAACAAGATCCTAAAAGTTTGAGCATATTAAAGTTTGAGCCAAGATGCATTGACCATTATTATGTTATTGAGCATTTAAAATATGGCCAGCCCAAGTTGAGATGTTTTGTAAGTACATATAATACACACCAGACTTTAAATACTTGTGTGGAAAAAAGAATGCAAGCTATCTGATAAATAATTTTGATGGTGAATACCTGTCAATAGGATAATATTGGATTAAGTAAAATACTTGAAATTGCTATGTGGCACATGCTATATTTCTGTTGGATAGCTCTGCTCCGAAGCAGGGATCTCTGGGTCTGTGATTGCTCTACTGTGTATCCCGAGGGCCCCCCTTATTCTAAACCTCAACTTAATTGGCCTGAGCATTTCTGATAATGTAATGAGTTGCCCATGACCACACTACTAGTAAAGGCCAAAGCCACTTTCCTTTTCTACTTACTTTTGCTCTTTTGCCCTACTGTGGACTCAAAAGATGTTACTAAATTGAAATGAATAATTACCCCTTTGCCTTCAAAAGCCTTGAGACTATGCTATTTCAAGAATGGAGAAGAAATGAAGAATGTTCTTTATTTCTTTTCCTGCCTCCTTTGTTATCTAGTATGATCCCCAGGCAATGGTGCCTTGGGCTGAGCATCATTTCTGTGGCCCTTGATGATCTTGAGGGACTTATTTCTGTGACAAATGAAGAGTCACTAAATAACTCCTGTTCATAATAAACAGCCCAAGAGCGGGTATGCACTACTCAGCACATTAACCATATTTACCATCTAAGAGACAGAAAGCAACCTGTCCCATTTCATGAGGAAGCCATAAAGTTTTAGTGAACAGGGAGTAAATCAAGGCTTCCATTTGCCTTGTAAAAATGCACTGCCTTGTGCTGCATCTCACCCTTCACTTGAAGGAGTGTATTTTTATTCCTTTGCATAAATAAAACATAATTGGTAGCCACCCTTTTGACTTGCTCTTGGTGCTGTGTTCAACAACCAAAAATTAAAGCTGTTTGTTTCTGATGAGGCCTGAGCACAGGTATGAAATACCTAAAATATTTGCAAGATGAAAATGGCTTTAAATTGAGAAGGAGCAGAAAAAAAAAAAAGGAATCTTTCCTTTCAGTCCTGTGAGAGAACATGCAAAAAATGTCTGATACAGTTCTAGGCACAAAATAAGGCCACAAAATAGGTGACTTAACCTTTTCTTAACATATGTTAGAGCCAAGAGCATTTTGAGGATAAAAGTAGATAAATAACTGAACAAATTCATTAAAAACCAACCAGCTTACAAAACTGATTCCTAAGATCAGTGGCAAGTGCTAAACTGGGAGCTGCAGTCACATGAGTTGAGTGAATATTTGGAGACATGCAAATTGGTTGGTTGATTTTAGTCAGCCATTTCCTTCTTTTTAACTTACATTATTTCAGCCCCAAACCATTCTCTTTGCTATTAGTAAGTCTTGTGTCACCTTCTTTGCTTTTTCTGAGTTTCAGTTTTAGAGCTGGCATTGAGAGAAAATAGAGAACCAAATACCTTCAGAGAACTGCGGAGGGCTCCTATGGTGAGAAAGTGGGGAGAGGTGGACATCTGGGCTGGACAAGCTGATAGGGTCTGAGGTTTGGAGATTCTAAAAGACAAATAAGAACGGTAGAAAGCCCGGGGAAAGTTGCCAACTTTGAGCTGCAAAAAAAATGTGTTCAAAGTGAATTATCCAGTTCAGCAACCCTTGAATCAAACACTAGGAACTGAGCTGTGGTGCCAGTGGTGTCTCACAAATGAAGAGGGAAAGCCGAAGGTAAGCTGTTCTGGTGAATTCGTCACCAAGCATGGCCACTCTTCTAGTGGGGTTTATGTGTCTGTAGGGCATATTTTCCTGGGTAGCTTATGTTTTTTGAAAGCACCAGGGATGCGTTTTACAGGATGTTGTCTGTCTAGTTTATCTGATAAAACATTCTTTTTGTTTTTACCTAAAGAGTAACATTCCCTTTAGGACGTGTTTCCTTTTTATATTTGTAAATATAAATTTCCTATTAACAGGATTTAAAGAAGGCATATCTTCATGTAAGAATTTCATATAAAACTTCAAAATTGAGAATAACAGGCAGTCAACAATATCATATTTTAAAGAGGGCAAGAGACATGGTCCCCTGAACTTAAGAATACAATACAGAAAATGATAAAGATCATAGCACCTCCTCCTGCCTATATAAAAAGCCTTGAAATTGGAAAACATGTGATTTGTGATTTGTAGACAGAGGGGGTGGGTTTACCCTCAACTCTCTGAGGTGCTTTTCTTCTCAGAAAAGTGAGGGTCTCATTTGTAGATATTTTTGGATGCCTGAAAGCAGGGAAGACTAGTGCCTTCCTCTCCAATTATTTGTGCGCATGTTGTGGAGTAGCAGTTCCAACTTTGGGGAGAATAGGTTGCAGTGAGAATGACTTCTGCAACCTGACATGGGTCTGAAGAGTTTGGGAGCAGGTGAAAACAAAACTGTCTCTTGGTTGTCTGATAATGTCTGAAGTCTAGATGTTGTCTGGAGCAGTCCCATGGAAAATGAGGAAGACAACAGTAATGGGGAGCCTGCACATTGCATTTGACTCAGCAAGGATGAATGAGTTTTCTGTGCCATGTGCTGATTGCAGAAAATATTGGCTTGAATCTTCTTGTTGAACTTTGCCAGACTGTGTGATCAAGATAAGATATTGTAAACATGTTGTTTGGAATAGGAATGAAGGGAAGTGTCTGAAAAGTTAGCCAAAAAGCATGTCACCGTGTAAGGGAAATATTAAGGGGCTTCCAAAAAACCTAGGCTTATGGTCCATAGGAGAGGCAGCAGTGACACACCTGCATTCATTGAGGGTACTGACGGCCTGTCCACAGGAAACCAAAACAATGGATGCAGCTAGATAAGATGCTTTTTTCCTTTCTTCTACCCATCTTCCCTCTGACCCAATGAAAACCAGGAAAGGAAGTGAGAGGAGATGGAGGAAGAGAAAAAAATAGACTACAATCTGTTCCATACTTTTGGCTTTGACATAGTGGTTAAGCCTGAGCAAGGGACAGGATAGAAACTTTGAACTGTATATGAGACTCAAATTTTGATTTACATTCAACTGTACTTTTCAAAGATGAATGGAAAGTCCAGAATGGGACTTGTTCTTTTGTATCTCAAAGTACCTGGAAAGCTATTGGATTTTCTCATACTGAACTACCATCAAAGGTTGATTTGTTAGAGCAGGGAGAAAAATAAAACAGCTTCATGCTTGGACTCCATTGGGACTGTCTAGAAGGTTCAGTAAACCAACTGCACCTGCTAAAGATAGCCCTTCCTCAAATTTTCATGTCATGACAAAATAGAAATGCTAATTCTACTTGTAAGGCATACTGAGGCAAACAGGCAAGCCTTTTCGTACCTTGAGGTTAGTAGAGGTGACTGGTGAGGAGTGTTCAACTCTCTCCTTACCCAGGCCCTTCCTTAAAGCTAATGACTATGGCTTATGGGACATTGTTTTGCAGTGTGTAAGTTTGGAGTAACCATGGAGAATTCCTCTTCCATTATGGAAGATAGGATAGTTTTTAGTCCTCATAGTTGGCTGTCTTAAGATATCAAGGGTCATAAAAATCCCTAGCTTTAAATTTTCACCTGCACATTAGCAAGTAGAAGGTCCCCTCAATCATGGAACAAATATTGGTTTGAGAGACAATGTTTTAATAATGTCAATGGCTGGTTATATACTTTGGGCAGGACATTTAATCTGTCTGGCTTTCTTTCCTTAGTTGTCAAGTGAGGGGAGTGGAGCAAATGGCAACTATCACCACTGCCACTACTATCCCCACAACTATACAAATCAAGCTGGGGAAGGAGCAATAACTATCTGCAATAATGAGTTCATTCACCTTTGATTGGATGCCTACTACATGTGGGACACAAAATGTAATAAGAAGCTCCCCCAAAGCTTATAAAGTGGAGTGTGTTGTACCTTATGGCTGTAGAACTATCCAGAGTCCTTGGTGTCATTCTCTAGGCCAGGTGATGTGTGACTGAATGTGTCCCAGTAGTCTCATTCTGTGCTGTCTATTTACTCCATGTGGCAGTGCCTAGTGGCCATGTTGGGTGGCTACTGGATGGGATCAGTCTTCTGCCACTACCTTTCCTTAACCTCAGAGCTCCACTCCTCTGGTTTCCAAAAGCATCCAAAGGAAGCATTCTGTCTAGCAAAGGCCTCACCTTTATCTGATGCCTGAAATATTAAAAGTGGATCTGAGATATCCACGGCATGTCAGTACTGTGTTTGGTCAAATATCAAATTTTAGCTGCTATTTGCCCAAAGGCCTAGAAATTATTATCGGAAGGGAGAGCTGTGTGTGTGTGTGTGTGTGTGTGTGTGTGTGTGTGTGTGTACTAGCATAGAGATCACTTTACAGGGTATTCACTTTTCTCAGGTAAGGAACTCATAGTCAAGAATCTAGGTAGAAAGTATTCCTTCTTGTGACCCAATTTCCATAATTCAAATAATAAATATCAACTAATTTATTTAATTCCTCCTTCCTACCTTCTCTCCCACCATTTTGGTTTAGCTTCCTCTGGAAGTAGAACCTTGGGTACACATGGTTTATTTGGAAGATGATCCTAGAAAGAGAAGTGGTATCTGAGAGAATAAGATAGGGAAGGAAAAAAATCTTCAGTCCAGAGCAAAAAGAAAGAAATGGTTAGGGAAAAAATAATTCTGCTTCATCCTTGGACTCCACTGGGACATCCCAGAACATTCAATAACCTGCTAAGATAGCCTTTTCCAAAGTTTTCATGTCATGATAAAATGGAAATGTTAATTCCACTTAAAAGGCATATTCAAGAATTTCATATTTCAAAGAAACAAGCCTACTTGTACTGAGAGGTTACTAGGGGTGCCTGGCCATAGGTCCTCAGCTCCCTCCTCCACTAGACCCTTCCTCAGGAATGATGACTGTAGCCCATGAGACATTGCTTAATGATCCTAGTGGAAATTGGAGCTCCATTCCATTAAATTATTTCAGCTTTTAAAAAAGGTATATTTGACACTTTTAATAGTTTTCTCTTTCTTGAAATTCTTCATTTGTTCCTGACCATCCTGCATTCCTGGTTCTGTTTGAACTTTTCCACCTCTTGTTTGGACTCCTCTTTATCTAAAATATCAGACCCAAAGTCCTATCTTCAGCCCACTACTGAATGTCAGAATTTCCAGGTTCCTTCTTTAATCAACTAGTTTTCTTATCTCAATCTATCTTCCAAAATCATCTTATGTATTCCCAACCTCACTCACTCCCTATGAAATGAATGATGATCCCTAAATCTCTGAGCTTCAGGATCATATCTCCCACTGCCTGCCAAACATCTTCATTTGAAAGTTTTACAAGCACCTCACACTGGCATTTCTAAAACCCAATTTGTCTATCTCACTACCAAGCCCATTTTTCTATTCTATCTTTCTATTTTCATAAATGACATAGTAACACCACACTCAACCTATGTGATCAAAGCTGAAAGTTTGCAAGTCATCCTTCCCTCCAATCCATTCTTCCCCTCACCTTCCACAGGTTAAATAATTTGGCTATAGCCACACAGTTAATATGTAGCAAATCTGAATGTAAAGGTAATTCACTTTTTCATCCTATATTAGCAATGAATGAGTAGGATTTGAGTTTTCATAGTTGAATTTTACCTCAGAGCCTATGCTCTTTCTACTACCAAAGGAAAAAGGCAAATGAACATGACAGTTGAGAAAAAAGAAGAAAGGTAGTAATTGAAACAAATGCAAAGCTCAATCTAAAAGTAGTATGACCCATTCCACTAATCTCTAAAACCATCTGTCTTTTAATGAGAATCACCAATCTGAACTGCATTTTGTTAATACTCCCTCCCCCATTCCCCATCGAGGCTGTACTTTTACTAATTATGCTTCAGGGCAAGTCATTTGCCTGTATTCAAACATAAAAAACAAAATTTACAACTAATTTTACATTGCAGATTTTGTCAAGGACATAATTTATTGCATCTTTGTCCTCTGTGAGAATCCACAGGAGAAATTTCTCTGATATCAGTGTGAGAGAGTTATACTTCTACTGAGCAACCAGTTCATTTTTGCCTTTCAGGCATTAATGTTTATACTTTGTTATGTTTTCCTCTTCATGTGGATTGTTCAGAGTTGAGAGCCTTATCTGAGTTCCACATCTAAGAAGGGTGTTAAGATTAAATGGCCTCTGTTCTTAGAATACCTTGTTACTGACTCCTCATTTCTAGTTCATTACATATTAAATGTAGTATGCATTACATGTAAAAAATATATTGATGCATACATGTTTGTAGGCCACCATAAATCCTTTTTAGAATGAGCAGATGCTTCTGGTGCCTAGGCCACAGCTTCCAGTCCACACCTGATTTCAGCACTAGATTTGTTGGACAGCTCCCAGCACCAGTGTCCCCTATAGTCTTCAGAGACTTGGAAGCTTGAAAAGTTGATGCAGCTTGAAAGTGCAGGGGAGGTAGTGGTTCTGGGGAATAACAATAAGACAGCTGAAGAAGAAAACTGGTAAAGAAAGTCTCGTCTCATCTTTCCTTCCACTGAATGATTTTGTTTGTCTGGAGTTCA